ACGAAACTTGTTTTTTTTCTGTTTCTATTCTCATTTCAGGGGTACCGTATTCTTACAAATATGGCGCTATTATGTGCCATTTTTACTGTATTTATTACAGACAAGCAAACAAAATCTCAGAGTTTTAATAGTATACAGATAGATAGATATATAATAGCAAATATCAGAGAGAATTATCAACATTGTTTTTTTGAAAGGCAGTTCCTGTGCACAATTTCTGGTTAGTAAGGTTTATACAAGAGCACTTAAAAAAAGTGTCAATTAATAAAACTGACCACTTGGATTTAAGGGGATTGCAGGAAGTCATCAATTTCTCAGGTTTGTCTCTTCTTTCATTTATCAACCAGATACATCAACATTTTGCTTTGACAATACATCTCTTTCACCTCAAATAACTTTCTTATACTTCATTCCCAAAATAATCAACAGTCTATCTACTCTTAAGTTTTGATATGAAATTTAGAACACAACAATGTCACTACATGCTGATTACAGCTCATTGGCCTATATCACCAAACTAGGTGAATCCAGTATGTTTAACATGATGGAACTGGCTAATTTCTGGTACATCCAGGTGTACGAGTTAATCAAATATTTCAAGTGCAATCTTCATCCCCGATTTCTCTGCACATAGCTGGCAAGTAGGATTTGTAACTGGCTCTGTATGTGAATTGAGTGTGACCCGATTTCTCTGCACATAGCTGGCAAGTAGGATTTGTAATTGGCTCTGTATGTGAATTGAGTGTGACCCGATTTCTCTGCACATAGCTGGCAAGTAGGATTTGTAATTGGCTCTGCATGTGAATTGAGTGTGACCAAGTAGGGATATTTGAACCACACCTAAACTTCCTTTTACCAGTACAAGCAACCTGCTATTAATAAAATTATATCAATATCACATACACTGGAGAAATACAAACTAAAAAAAAATTAATGTAGATATGTAATGTACAATAGCATTACTAAATAAGATTAGCTAAAAGTTGGCACAAAATTGGTTGCTAATTTCATCACGTTGTTTTGAAATAACTGTATTAACATAATTTTTCTCAAGTCCATGAAGTTTATAATTGCAGCAAGTGACATCCAGGTTGACTGGAAACATGTAAATGTGTGTACTAATCGTTTTACAAAGGTATGGGTCGGATACTGCAGCAGCTGTTCTTAAATCTCAAGCTAGCAAGCACCCATCTGTTGTAGTGTGTCACATCCAGGTTGACTGGAAACACGTAAATGTGTGTGCTAATCGTTTTACAAAGGTATGGGGCAGCTGGCCCATTGTAACAATCTTAAATGAGCTATAACGTTCACGGACGGCTTGCTTATGTTGACATGAAAATATCCATTAGTATACAAATTTCAGTGTACTGGATTCAATTCTAGATATATTGGAAAAATCACTAGGCAGCTAAAAACAAGCATCAACCAAACATGCAGAGTTGATATCCAATAACGTATACAAAAAACAGTGAAAGATAAATTACTGAATCTTACAAAACAAAAATACTCTTTGGGTTGGTTTGTATTCTAAGTGGACCAATTATAATATGCTTTATTAATTTCTAACATGTACAAATTTTACCTCTAACTCGTCCTTTGTAATCGGAATCGTCTCCAGTATTGATATGACCTCAATGACACCAACCATGTCCACCACCTGCAAAAATAAATGTACAAATCAATCTATATACCCAGAAGGATGTATTAGATTTGACAGGAAAAACCTATGATAAAAGCTAATTATGGATTACTTGCATGTTCTTAAAATAAATTGCACTAACAAGAACATTAATTATAAATAGAAAGAATTGTTCAAGCAAGTAATACATTTAAAACACAAATGTTATTAAACTACACTAAAATGTTATCTTTCTTCATTCTCAGTTACAGAGTTCTTTATGAAAGAATTTCCCAGTTTCAGCAACATAGCTTTAAATCAGAAAAATCAAGGCTTAAAATTCAGTGTAATTAAATAGTGTTACTGTTTCATGTTGGAATGTGAAAGTTTGGCAATCATATTCAATACAATAGTTTCTCTTTCAAAACAAACAATTATCTTCCAATTTCTGGTTAAACATCACACACACAGGTGTAGTGTTGAACCTAAGAGGTTAATAATATACAAACAGATAATGCAACAAAAGGCCCAACTAACTTTTCATACATGTTACAGTTAATTCCTCTCCATTATAGCAGGTTAGACTCGCCTGCAACTATGCATGTTCTTCAATATAAATACAATGTTTTACAGGAAACAAGCTGCACAAACAAAGATGATAAACATTTAAAACTAATGTCAAAACAACTTAGGAGTACACTATGACAAGAATTCAAAGTTTAAAATCCTGAAAGTTAATCTAAGCCAGAGGTAATATTTTTCTAAAAAACTGAGATTCTATAAATAAAGGTTAGCAAAAGCATAAAGTTAAAATAAATTAAAAGATGACCGAATAACAATATATTTAGGCATAAAGCCTATCATATTTGGTCCTTCCTAAAATGCACATGCCATAGTTGATATTACTGTTATCTAATCATTCTATGACTGTGGCCAAAAACACTGCTAACAGCAAAGGTACCAAACTGATTAAACAATTCATTCTGATCTTTACAAGGAGAAACATCAGTCAAGTATACTTAACTAGTTATATTGATTGCCAGGTTGATTTTTTTGTTTTGATCTAAGTACACAGTTTGCTCTTATTAGAAGTTAATATCAGTACAGAATATCAACAGTAAGGTACATATTTAGGTTTTTTCCCCTTAAATTTCATATAGGTGTTCAACAGAGTTTATGATATTCTTCTAAACCAAATACTGAATGGTAAACATGTATTTATACTTTTCCTTATTAAATGTTACACAGAGGGCAATGATTATCTCAAGAATATTTGTCTGTGTCCAAGCCCATCTCAAAGGGTGGTACAAATACTTGTACAAATTGGGATTTTTCCTCTCTTGTTTATGTTACGTGGAATAGTCACTAACATAGGCGATCTAAAGATTGTGTGATATCAGACAATGACCCATTTATTTAAATTTAAAGTATAGTATTTTATTATTCTTTCTCTCCTTGTTCTGTGGAAATATACATTGCACACAATATATTTTACTCTAGAGCTAACAGGAACATTCTCATGTCAGCCATTCAATTTCAGTAAATTGTCCACATACTAATGGCAAAATATTTAGAGATAATTTAAATTTACCGAGTTTTATCATCAACACTATCTTGCTTGAGTTTAGAGTTAGTTCTATGTGAATGCTAAAAGGGCAAATTTAATACAAAGATCATTCTTACACATACTATGTCAGATGCCAGCATTACATTCAAAAACAACACTAAACAAACTTTGTGGCAGGAATTTAGGTTTAAAAATCTTTCAAGCATCAAAGAAAATTTTGGGGCCTCAAAGACAACTCAGGGTGGTCAGAAACTTTTGTTTCTCTTCACCCCATGTGATGATAAAGGTGAAGCCAAACAAATTTTTATTGAGCCACTGGGCTTAAAATTGTTAAAATGCATGGGGAGAGAAGTTGTAGGACGACAAGAGGCACAGAAGATGCCGATCCAAGCACACAGAGCGAGCCATGAAGAGGCCATCATTTGGTAGTTGGAGTTGAAACGTGTGTCTGTTGATACACATGATGATGACATCAAGCAAAGTGGACAGTTGTCAGATAGAGAAGGGAGAAACAGACTAAGTATGTGGATTTCAGTTTTGAATAGTTGCCAAAAAATATGTTATGTGATTGAAAGAAGATTATTTTCTTAATAAAATTAAAATGATAGGTTAAAACTGATTCGGGTGAACTTATGAGAGTAACTGCCCTTTACAGTGGGGGCTGGGAATAAATTAGCCAATGCCCTCATTAATTTGGTTGCAGGGAAAAACTGGATAACCCGGAGAAAACCTGCTTTCACAGGTCAGGTGCCGAATAACCTACCTGACCCATGCCAGAGATGAGGAACTCAAGAGGAAATGATTGATTAGTACATGTATATGGTTAAACACTATTTATATTGTTAGGAGGAAATATGTACCTTTGCCATGTGGAGGGTGTGGTTGGGAAATGTGCTTGCTTGGCCGTTTCTTTTTTGGGCTTTGTTGTAGAACTTTTGAACTAACATATTAAGGCAATCCTTAATGAGAGGTAGGTCAGTAAGATTGTTGACATGTTTGTGGGGCATATTTTGGGAGACAGAATACAGTTTTGATAGCGGTTGGATCTTTTTGTATAACATGTTAGACATATTACAAGCATCCATATTTGTGTAGAGGTCTGATGTAGACATTATTATATTCACAGAGCTGGGTGTAATGTTTTTTATTCACTGTTACAGAGGAACCTTGAAATGTAAGTACATGACTGTAGATTCATGTAGGACTTGAGTAAAACACATGCAACCCTCCAGATTTCCACAAGGTCTGGAATCTGTGTCCCAAAGATTTAGGACATTCTGCTACCCTTTCTGGTATACCCCTTATATAATTTTGCTTCAGGTATTTTTAATGCATTTAAAATTAATATTAAAAAGGTGTAAAATATATAGATTTATATACTTGCATTAGACAACACCTTTATTAGAAAAAAGTGACCACTTGAAACTTGGGTTAAATAGTTTTCAAACAAATATTGGAAAAGCAGTAAAATTATTTTTAGCTTCAAATTATGCAACAAAAGTGTCCATCAGTTACCATAAAAGTCCATCTAGTGGCATGTGCTAAAGAGTTATTTCTATTGGATTGTGAAACTAACGTGACATAAAAAATGTGAATGAAGTCTTAAAATTTTCCTTTTACACGTGGTTGGAAGAGGTTTTACAAGTTTTATTTTTTGCAGGTTATGACATGGTTTAATTTAGTCAGACACCATGTAGGTCAACTTGTTTTAAACTTCCCCACAGTATCCACTCAACAGTTTGGTATGATACATTTCAATATACAATACAGTAGGGCTTTTCAACTATTTCTGTAAGGGGGTCAGATTGAAAAAGGTAGAAGCAGGTGGGCCAGAAGTATTTTGATCTGCACATTTTAAAGCAACATGTTAATGTTGTTATATTGAACAAATTTCACCATATGAATAGTACTTTAACATTTCACAGACTATCATTACAAACATTTTTAAGTGTGTTGGTCAGATATGTCAACATGATAATTATTTCTATATTCATTTTAGTTTTTTTTAAAATAATTTTTGCCGACTGGTGGCAGACCACTTGGTTAACCCTTGCAAGCCAGATGTGGCCAGGGAGCCAACAGCTGAAGAGCCCTGCAATAGAGGTTAAGTACATTATAACAATTTTGGAACCTAATCACTTCATTATAGTCCACGGTGCTTTGTCCAGTCGTATTCTATCTGGTGACAGTGCATCTTGACACTAGGTCTGTAGCTTTATTTCCATTGCTAAAAGCTTCATCATAAAGCTGTCATTTCAAAAGTTCACAACTTCTTGAATACTTTATATTATCCATAAAGTGTAAAAGGACAACAATTTCTCAGGATCCACTTTAACAATCTAATCACAGAAATCTATAGATGCTGCATCTTCACTAATATATTGTTATATGGGATAGCATGAACATCCATTTCATTCTGCAGTTACTTAAGATATGATTGAACAGGTATGTCAAGAAAGCCACTTGTTTTCACATGAATTTCAACAATTTTCCAGACATAGCTTTTAAAAGTTACTTTTGTGATAACGGACTTTCACCTGTTATATGATGCTGCACTTTGCTTACTACAACTGGGGTACAACTTGTTGCATGTTTCTTTCTAAATGGTCCTAGTATCCAGAGTTGATCAACATACCTTTGTTTTCCAATGCTACTAATTGCAAGGGATATATCTGTTTTAGAAAGTTCCTTTACGATCAAAGTGCATAAATTAGTATTATCTTTTGATCAGAGAAAGCTATGTACTTGGAGTAAAATTAAATATCAGGAAATCAGTATAGCTACTTAAGTACACCCTTCTTACATTTCTGTTTATAAAGATTACACTGTATTTTTTCATCAGTTGAGTACCCTCACTCTTTATGATATTTTTGGCTACGATTCCCAAAATGCTGTATGTTGGAAAGAGATGTAATACACAATAGAGTGGGCCTATTAAATAAATTACATAAGAGCACTGACTACATTAATTTGTATCATGTAAAGTAACTAATTAATCAATCTAAATTAGTGTTTCCAGTTATTACCATTTCTCATTATTTTAATATAAATCAAGGTTCTTCAGCTTAGTTTATGAATGTTACTATTTTCAATTACTTTACCTATCCAAGTCCAATGTGAAAATCACCGATTACTTGAATGTAACTGATTAATTAGTCAGTAGTTTAATGGATAATCAAATTCCACAAATCATCCACACTATTACATACTCTTCCCAAAGAAAAAAAAATGAATTTTCAGTGGCATAACACTACATATGAAATGCAAAACAATGAGAAATTCTAGTTCTGATACATGTTATTTCACCTCGACTTTATAGCAACTGTGGTTGTCACATGATTTTTTTATTTGCATATTCAAAATGATTTTAATATAATGTTGTCAACCCTCTGTACTATGTCTAGTAGAGAATAAGAATACTGAATTTCACCATCTAACATACAAAACATATATCTGAAATACTACCAATAAA